ATTTAGGTAAGGGAAGAGCAAAAGAAAAAGTATAAATGAAAACAGAGTTAACATGCTTTTATTTGATATTTGCTAAGTATCCAGAAGAATTTCATGGGTGAGAAGATGGAGTGAGTTCAACAAAAATAACCTGCCAGAGGATTTAAGAGCAGCTTGCCTCTGAACTAACATATATTCTCATTTCAGTGGAAATCTGAGAGGAGATTTGTGTCATGATAAGGGTGTATTAATCCAGAGAAACATTTGTTCACATGCTATTATTTCTGCTCTACTGGAAAATTAAGAAAGTTTTAGTTAAAAGTTTAGTTAAAAGTTCACAGTGTTTCTCATTTTGAAACAACGGCAGGGGGAGCAATGCTGCAGATGAATAAATATTTCTGTACTGTGTGCCTTATTACAGTAAAGATGAGAGAGGAAATATGTATCAATGAAATTCAAAAAAACCCAAACCGTGCAAACCATTTAAGTGCTCAAACATATTAATAGTCACTACTAAACCAACTGGGCTCAATCAGGTGAGCTCAGTAAGCTACACCACATAAAATGGTGACAAATTTGGCATATAAACCTCCAGTTCCCATCACAATTTCTTGAGTGCTCTCTGGGATGTGAAGGAGGGACCGCAAAGTAAACTTCTACCCCACCCCAAGCCCCAAAGCTGAGCAGAGAGCCCACCCCACTGCTGCTCCCTTTGCAGGGAGAATGAACCTGCCTGGAGTGTGGCGGTATTGGCTGTGCTGCGGATAAGCGCAGGTCAACAGCTGGGTCAGGGCAGGAGCCAAAATCTAGTCTGTAAATACGATATGGGTAGGTGACCCATAATTCGCTCACAAGGTGGACAAAGTTAACAGCACTTCCCACGTTATGAAGCTGAGGAGGAGGAAGGAAACATGAAATCCTCAAGTCGAGGTATTAAGCAAGCAAAAAATTAAGACTATGTGCCATTGCTGGAAGGAACACCTGGAGGTCATTTAGTCCAACCTTCTCCTCAAAGTAGGAACAACATTATTAGGTTTTCAAATTATCCCTGGATGGACGTTCCACAGCCTCTTTGGGCTTCAGTGCTTCATCATTCTTACAGTAACACTTTTTTCCACACACCTAGTCAGACCTTCCCTTGCTGCAACTTGTTTGTTGCTGATAGCTCTTTTGCTGTGCACTTCCAAGAAGTGCCTGGGTCTGTGTTCTCTCTAATTAGCCATAAGTTAGTTGAAGGAAGCAATTACATTCCCCATTTACCTTCTGTTCTCCTGGCTAAACAAACCTCTGCCCTTCTTCAGTACTTCCTGACCATCTCTGGATCTGACTCATCTTCCTCCAGCGTACCAAAGTCCCTCTGCTAATGGAGGTCCCAACCCTAATGCAGCACTCCAGCTGCAGCCCGCAAGCACCAAGGAGAGGCGAGTGATCGCTTCCCATGACCCGTCAGCACTGCTCTTGCTAATGCGCGCTCCTCTCCTCCACAAGGGCTCACTGCTGACCCGAGTTAAGGACTGGCTGACCATAACTCAAAAGTGAACATATCCATGCAGTTGGGCACATCCCACTTCTGCTATGCTCTCAAGGAAGTGAGTGAACTTTTAGGAACTGTCCTTCCATGAAGGGGATTATGAAAAAACAGCAAGAGGAGGGTGCTCTGCAATGAAAGTGATGCAATCTGTCAATGGTGCTAAACTATTAAAACAATAAAAAAAAATGCTTGTGAAAGTAGTGTAACTTAATTTTGCATATGCATTTTATAACTATTTTTTCTTAATGAAACAAAACTTTTTTTTTTGTGTGACCCATAAGCTTTACTGATTTGCAGCTAAATGTAATCTATACTCTAAATTTCCTATCTCTTTTTCACAGTCATTTAGAATTTAAAAAATTAAGGAATAATTATAGCAATTATACAGATGTTTAATATTTTCTATTTTTCCTTTTTTATGTTTACTTACTTTTGGGTGGACATTGGGCATAGAAAAAATTGAAATTTTGAAACTTAATTTTAAAAAGTGTCTTTACTATGCCAGGTTCTTTTAATTTTCTTTCTTCTTTTTTACTTTTTTAAAATTTTATTTAGACTTGACCTATTAAATAGAAAATAAGCTGAAACAATTATTTTCCTGAGTACTATATCCTTGGAGATTTTGGAACTAGCAGGTCTCAGGATCACACCTCATTTTAATACAGGAAAAACAAATTTTCTTCTTTTTCAACTCCCAATTGTGTTCTCCATTTCAAATGAACTAGATATTGACTAAAGTAAATTAAAATGAAGAACAAGCTCTAAATGTACTAGACAATCCATTGGTATATTAATTCACCAAATGCTTATTCTTAGTTCCAGACATTTAGCAGCAACTTCCCACAGACCGCTAATGTCATTATTTAAAAATATCTCAGCAATCACTTATTCTGTGAAGGCGATTTTAATTTAAGTGATGTTAACTGCAACCAATTAGAGTAAATCTAGGAAGTATGATAAACCATCATAATTAAAATGAAGATTTTTTTCTATATATGCATCTATGTAATTTAAAGATACTAATCTCAAAATACAACACAAAGTTAAGACCCACATAACAGTATCTCCTTTTTCTTTCTTCCAAGAGGTGCAAAATGGCTAGGGGAAATCTGCTTGAGGAACCTCATATTAAATTATGATGCCTCATATTGCACATCAGAAACAATCTGGGCTGAAGTAAAATTATTTGGCTTATTAGCTCTTAATTTTCTTTAAGATTTTTTCTACATGGAAAAAATCCTGCGGACAATTATTCAACATTGCAATGCCTTGCTGATGTTCATGTTACTTCCAATATCACTCTTCAAATTCACACCCTTCCTAATCTACATCGACTTTCCTGTAAGCACTGCATCCAGACTGTCCCTGACAGAGAAACTGCCCTTGCTCTGTCTGACAGGAGGTTTCTGTGGGCACGTTGAACTTTGGCATGCCTGCAGGAAGCCTTCAGGATGTTAGCAGTATCAGGGACAATTTTGGTCTCTTTGTTTAAGAAAAGAATTTATATACACTGATAGCTAGGTGTGAAAATTGGTCTTAAAAAGGTCAGTTCAGCCCTGTCCTTCTTTCAGCCATGAAGGATGGCTGCTGGGCTCTGTGGAGCTGATGTATCTTCAGCATTTAAAGGACCTCGATGGGAGTTTGTAGGTGGGAGGGTCACTATCAGACACCATTGCTTTCATAAGCTCCTTGCCGGCTCAAGGCCTTCTCCCTCCGCCCTTTGATCAAACAGGATTCACCGATATGGGGTGGAAAGACACGTCTACCACAGTAGGCTGGGAACAGGGCTGGGAACACTGTTTCCTACTGATCCAGGTGTGATATCTGGTCAGGACACTTGATCTTTTCTATTCATATGTGGAAAAGTAAAAAAAAATTCCAAATCGGGATTTTGGCATGAGAGGTAATAAATATAAGAAATAATTGCAAAGAAAATATTTTGGTATTTTAAAACTAAACATTTTAGCGTCTAACAGTCTAAATGACTCCATTGATCTCCTTTAGTTTTTATAAAAATGTTCAATTTTTCAAATTTAATCTCTGTTTACAATGGCAGTGTTTGAACTCCTGAAAACTTTGCCCTTGGGTGAGACTGCGATATTGTGTATATCCCTTCCAAAGTGGCTGCGTTTAAGGAGCATGTGTGAGGTGAGAGCTGTGGCAGAGGACCTGATCGACAATGTGCCAGCCAAAACATATTCCAGTCCAATCTGGGATTAACCAACATTTACTGTAACACTACGCTCTAATGAACGAGAAGGGGAAAGGTAGCGACGGAGCCTTTCTCTAAGTGAGCAAGCTTTCCCCCAGCGCCCTCCGGTTTGCCGTGCAGAGCCCTACCTGGGCAAAGCACCATGGGTGGCTGCAGATGGAAGCGGAGCACAGTGAGGCTTTATGCCCCCGTTCAAAACAGCTTACCGATACTTCAGTGCCAGGCCTACGGCCGGCTGCAGCAGTCTGAGCAAACATCTGAGGGAAAGGCACAAACGCCTGCCTGGGAGAAATCACCTCACACTCCTCTGGAGAGGTGTGCGGGGACGGGGATGGAGGGGGAGGACGGCAGGGTGGGGGCGAGCCGCTGCCCGGGGGGGGGGGGTGGGGGGGGGGGGAGCCGCTGCCTGGGGCCCCCAGTGTGTGCCTGGTTGGAGGGGGTGTCAGTGGGAAGGCATACAGCTTCCTTCCACATCTCCCTAGTAAATTCATCTTCATATGTTACCATAGGTATAGCATTAAATCAGAACAGACTGAAGAGGATTTGGAGTCAAACTCATTTTTTCTTAATATAGCTCCCTCCCTCTATATGCACTATGGAGCTGCAGGTGTAAGCATCCTTGTCAGGGGTGCAGTAACTTCTGGTTTTGTGAGCAGGCAATTAGACCTTTGTATCAGTCAGACGTTATACTGAAATTATTAAGGCTATTCGAAGAAAAAGTAACGCTTGGGTATGGGTATCACTGTCTGAATCCTTACAGTGACCCTAAGCAGCAAAGGTTTCTGAGCGAGGGGACTCTTCTATTAAAGATGTTTCAAAAAATAATAAAGTATGATGATTACCTAGTATGTTGTCCAGTTGTCATCCCAGCAAATGAAATCACGTGTAACCATAGGACTAATCAGCTTGCTTCAGCAATTCTGAATTAGTCCAGTGAGTACAAGCTTTCACTGTTCTAAAAGATCTCTCCCTTATTCATAATTATCATTGAATTATCTTGCATATTTAGCAATACACTGAATTAAAGAAAAAGTAGTCATCTAGTGTTACATTTAAGTGTGGGAGTTTTACCATAAGCCCTGTACTGAGACGGCAAACCCTCCAACACCTTAAACTGGACCATTGCTTAGAGGAATTTGCATCTGGTTTTCTTTGCTCTGGAGATATTCAGAATAATGGTCTATTCCAAATGCCAAATTCTTCAAATTCTTTTGACCCATCAGGAAAAACAGGTATTTCCCTGTGGCACATAGGAGACTGCAGTTGCTTGTGGCTTACCTGTCCTGGTTGTTCACAGGCTGTCTGGTATCTTGCTTGTTGGCATAATTCTTTTACTCTCTCATATTTTGGTAGTTGATTAGACTGCTGAGTGGTTTTGTTGGGTTCCTCCTTCTTGCGTAGAAATTTGCTTTAAAAAAAATAAAGTTGAATATTTTAGACACATTGTTCTAAAATCTGGGAATGATTAATTTAACTAGAAAAGCAAAGCTGCTTGAAGATTTAGTCTTCTCAGAGAAAAAAAAAATTCCACATTTCTGTTACTGACCTTCAATGTAGCTCATGTAGTGAAAAAAAGGCTCAGGTGATTTGCTGGAAATTACTCAAAGAGAAATAAGGGTTGCTGAAATACGTCTAATTGATACAGTTCAGCACCATTCATAAATAAATGTATGTTCTTTCACAAAGCAAAACATGCTGAAGCAGTATCTGCCTGGCTGAAAAGTCCAGCTGAAGAGACTACAGGGCTTCCATATTCATTCAGCACTAGCTTGGCTATATCTTATATATTGCAGTGTGTCTTATATGCACTGTTTTGTACTACATCACACAAGATTTCCATAATCTGTAAAGCCATAAAGTGCCACAAGGAAATTGCTGTACAATTTTTACCCAGAGAAAATTTTCACAGCAGTAATTGGCAAGGTGAGAGGGTGTAAAGAGGTATCAGTGAAAAGAGGAGTCATAAATCTCATTTACACATAAGTCTTTCCTTAGCTAGAACAAAAATGAAGAATGCTTTCAATATGTGATGGAAAATACAAAATCAGTTGATAAGAGGATTCTGCACAGCTGGATTTGAAACAGATTTAGAAAGAAAATGAGCCAGATAATGACATAAGTGATCACAAGTACAATGTTAGAGAAAGAGGAGGTACAGGCTAGGAGTGTGGCCAGAAAAGCATGCTTTCAAATTTCTTCAGAGTTAGAGATTTGGGAGCACAGCAGCTTGCAAAGCCAGTGGTGGGAAACTAGAAAACAAGTCAGGCCTGTAAGTTGGCTTGCAAAATTTACTACTTCACTGACCATAAAAAGGAAGAGGAGTGAGCAGAAAGGGAAGCATGTACAAGAGTGTTCCCAGCAGGCAGGCTCTCCCAAAACTCTCTCACCCCTAATAATTACCCTCTTTCCACCAGAAATGTGTCACGCCAAATTTTGGTCTTCTTGTTTGTTCGAAACCTGAAAGCAAAATAATAATATTTACTGCTGGCACCTATGTATAGCACTGCTAGTGTTAACAATTTATTTTTGAAAAAACACCTCTCCACTTATATATACTTGCAATTTTATAGATGTGCTATTTAAGAGACTCTTCAAATGTGAAAGCTGTGGTCAATGGCATGACACAACTCATTTTCACAGAATCTTTTTCCACTCAGTTGTTGATTTACTCAGGCGTTTGCTTCTGAACTGGTTAAAAAAATATGTTGGGACCCACCTGTTTCCTGGTCTCTCCAAGTCCAGAAGCTTTAGGACAGATTTGCCATCCATATCTGGAGGTGTGTCAAGTCCTGCTATATCCAGAATTGTTGGAGCAAGATCAATATTCAGAACTATCTGAGGTACTCTACAAATCAACAGAAAAGGTCATAGTTGTCATGTGTTCAATATGTAAGTCTTCACATTCTCTTGGAAATAGAATGGTAATTAATGTTTAACAGGCCTTTGAAGAGAGTAAAGCTCTACAGAAGTGCTAAGTTCAGAAAATCCCCTTTGAAGGCTACAACTCTGAGAACGACAGGCCAGTACTGCAGACTGTCATCGCAAAGAAAAAGCTAAGCACAATAAGACAAGGAGGTGCGGCAGTCACACTACTCTTACCTCATTGACAATGAGGGCATGATGCCATCCATTCTGCTAAACCAGAAAGTGAGCAGTAAAGATGAGCACCTACTTTTTAAAAGCAAAACCCAAAGCCTAACCTTACAGGACTACGCATTATACAATTTTCTCATCTGCATTATAACTTAATAATAAGCAAAATAAAAGATATGCCTCTTTATAAAATGCATTGCTCTGCAATCATAGGGCATCCTTTATGAAACTAGAAAGAGTGATAATTACATGCTCTTAGAAACATTTATATTAGGTTCAACAGCTGTGCCAGAGACATAAGAGAACATACACTGATCCCGGCTCTACACTTGGACCACGAATAAAGAAAGGAACTCGAATATCAAAGTCGTATGGCATTGACTTCCCCTTGACCAGTCCAAACTGCCCGATATGGTAACCATGGTCAGCAGTGTAAATAATGTAGGTATTCTCCAGTTCTCCCATCTCTGCAAGCATTTGGTATAACTGCAACACAGCATAGGAAAAACTCCGAATTAAATGTGCAAAATATCTTTTGTGCATAACCATCATGTATAATCATCATTTTACTGCCTTAAATTCACAGAACCAAACATGGCATTGATGAGGTGGTTGAAACAGACATTCTGGGGATGGACATTTTTACATCTCGTCTTTACTGTGCTCTAAAAAAATCAACTTACAAGTTCAATTTCACATTTGACTGAGGGGAAAATGAAACAGGTCCACAAAATCAGAATAGCAAAATATGATAATACTAGTGCAGTTGCATTAGTATGTCCAAAAGCCATTGTGTACTCAAACACAGCTTGGGGAAAAAGTCTGCTACAGCTTTAGGGTAAATGGTACTCAGATTTGATTTACTGTGTTAGTCTACAACTTTCTCATTCTTACAGTTGTGGGCTTGGGAAAAGGCTGTAAATTTTTATTAAAGTTTAAAGAAATCTCTCTGGGGGAAGATCTTTGGTCATGGAGCTTGATTTTGGAACAAAAAGTCATACAAAGTACACCTAATAGTTCATGTATCATGTTACCTATAATTAGCTGTACACTGCATTGCCTAACTTCTGCAAACACTAGCAGACTGACACCTGAGTTGCTGTGATTTGCCAGTTCCCAGATTTCAGCTGAAGGACGAACTGTGAAGGGTGTGTGTGAAATGAATAGAAGTTGTCATGTGCACACCTGTGTCTACCCATGTGTACATGCAGGTGATGCATCTTCTGTTAATACCAGGCTTTATATTAGGTCCAGTCACTTTTTCCTTTAAAAAAAATCATCAGTTTATTCACCCAGCAATTAAAAGAACCAAGCGAGGAGCTTGGCACTATGTTGCAGAGAACCAGAATTCATTTATACTGGGGATATGTGGAGTAATTCTTTGTAGCCCAAGGGCTCTCCCCAGGCTGCGGTCGGTGAAGGTGACAAATAAGATTGTATTCACAGTAGTGTCTTGAACTCACTCTTTCCATAGAGTCGTCAACTGACATCAGGGTCTGAAGTCTTTTGCGCTGCAAGACGTTTGTAAACTCCATGTGGATAGGCAGCATGGGCCCCGTGTACTGCATGATCCAGTGCTTATCCATGTTTGGTGCATAGTTATAGCTGGGAGTGCTGGGAGGAAAAGAAAGAGTCTGAAAAGTTGTGCAGCATCACAGGCATCAGAGCAAGGTGGAACTCCTCTAATACTGGAATAGCCAACAAACAATTAAATCACAAATTCAATGTCGTATCTGGTATTTCTAATGTCAAATATCAACAAACATCACTTCTGTAGCTTCCAAGCTTCATTGGTTCATCCATCATCAAAATTTTTTAACCACTTGCTTTCTGAGCTTTCTTTGAGGTTCAAAGACCACTACCAGATCCATGCTAATATTTGGGATATATCAAAACATATTTCTCAGAAGAATCTGTAATCATTAAAAATGCTCATCTGAATGGTGCATCCCATAAAGGTAAGCAGAAAAATGAAGGAAGTCAGAGATCAAAGATGACTACTTCTCCTTAGTATTAATGTAAATTGCCCTGACGTTTCCAGTGGGGAAGTTATCTTTATATTAGTACAAGCTAAATGAAACTCACAAGAAAGATATTTCCCTGTGGAACAGAGAAATTTAGTAGTCAGTACTAAGAATGGCAACACTGTAGTTATCAGTTTTCAAGATGTCCCAAAGGGCAAAAGCACTGGCTTTTTTCCCCTTCCCATTACCAAAGGCAAGTGCGAGCACGGGCATTGCCAGGACGCTGAGTGCCACCCCCCTGGGGCTGGCTGCCGGGTGCAGGGTCAGCTCTCATACAAAGCCACGCTGTGGCCTTGAAGGATAAAGCTGAGAAACTGCTGCAACCAGCGCCGTTGACTCCAGACTCATGTTCAGTCTCCATCACTTGTCCTTGGCCCTCACCTGAGCTATGCCCCAGTGATTCCCAGTGATGTGGTAGATGTGCAAGTTCCACCCATACCAAAATAATGTTTATTTATACACTAAATCCGGCTGAGGTGTTATTTTTCCAATGTGAATACAAAGCACAGTGCATTACCAGCATAACATGAACTATGCCAATAATACTGAACTAATACTGCTATTGATACTAGTACGAGGAAGTATGGCACAGAGTCCTACTGAAGCAAAGAATGATGCTTTAGGAGTTTGCAAAAACATCAAAGGAAAGATTCAAGAGAGGTGTTCTATCCACAGACAATGAATTTTTGAAGGATGTCATCTAAGAAACAAGAACAGGTTCACCGATATCTCTAAATAAAAGGTACTGCAAAAAATATGTCAAGTAAATTTGCTGTACAGTTATGCACGGTCCAAATCCATCAATCCTGTTTTTATACCTAGCATACATGACAACTAAAAGGTGAAGAGAAACCAAACAAAATCCATGTCCTGTAATGCTTTCACCTGCGTATGACCACTTACCTTCTCTAACACTTGCAGAATCTAGGCTTTGAGAATCTAGGCTTTGCTGTTTTGATGAAGTTCTTTGGGTTTTATTTTTTCCCCATTTCTAATACACTGCAGTACATGATACATGTATTGCAGTATTACCTTTGAAAAAGAAACGTAAATAGAAAATGAAAAATTGCTGTTGTGTGATTGGATTAATTTGATTCCTATGGTTCTCTCTTCAGTCTATAACAAAAATGCAATTCGATATTAATTGACTGTTTAGATGCTGATAATTTTAATATGTGCATTACCCAAAGGTACGTTTTCCCCACAGAAATGTTTATGTATAGTTGTCCTTTCGTAAGAGATAGCATTGAATAATATCAGAACATTGTAAACTGATAACTTAAAGTCACACCTTTGACAAGTCCTTCATTTAGCTTTCATTTTTCTTGACGTGGTTGTAGGTCATCACAGAATGGTGGAAGCAGTTGATTTTACTGAAGCAGCTGATTTTACTGAAGCAGCTATTATACGTATAGCCTATAACTATATATTCTGAGGATAAAAATTGGCTGGATGGACAACATAATAGACTGACAGTCAACTGCAATAAATTAATGGAGTCCACATTTTAATTGGACACCATTTTTAAGAATTTACGTAGAATTCGAGAAGTATGAATATCTCTAGAACATACAGCTAGTTTTGACTAACCTACTTAACCATTAGCCTCAAGGGAAAACAGAAGTGAGATAATGGTATCACAGGATTTGTGAACATTTCCTTGAGTACTTCCTTCCTAAGAGGTATGGAAAGGTTAGCAAAGACACACATAAAGTGAATTTCCTTTTCTGCTGGAAATTCTTTTATTTCAGGTTGAAATAAAATGTCAGGTTATTTGACATTTCCCATGGTAGAAGTCTGATTTTTAAAATGAATATTTATACTACCACAAAATTAATGACACTGAGCCCAGGAGCAGAGTCCTCTAAGCGGCTGGCTAGGCGATGGACTGATGGAACCCTAGACCTTGAAGAAGCAAGTCTTAGGAGTTTTAGTCACCTATCAGGCATTAGGGACATTGACAGAAAATAAGGATACTTCCAGTGCAAACTTTCCGTTGTTTCTTTGGAAGTTTGTCAAACAAGATATTTTCCCATGAAAGAACTCAGTTTTGATTAATCAGCATTTTCCAGTAAAACTGTTGGTTGTTTTTTTTTTTTTTCAGCAGACTGCTGAGTGCCCCCGCCACGGAGGGATGAGGTGGTTGTGAGCCGTGCTCAGCCGGCAGTGCCGTGACAGCCTGCCGCTGTGCCAGGAAGGAGAGCCAGCTGCTGAAGCAGGCTCAGGTCTCATGTTCCCAGGCCATTGTCAGAAGCCTCCTCCATGTAATGGATAGTCTTTAAAAGCAGCACTCAAGGATTTAGCAGGGCGGTTAAAACTTTTCACAGGCACTTTCCAAATGCATTTTGAATTTCCTGGGTGAGAAATGCAGTAGGCAGAGAGTGAGCAGAATTTTCCTCCCAGACAATTCAAGGAACAGGGCCTTCTGTGAAATATCCAATGCCAGTGGCTGATGAAGAAATGTGAAATGGGGGTCCAAAGTGGAGGGGAAACAGTACTAAGGAAGAGACGGAAAGGAATCCAAAAACCCCACAGCTTGTATCTGTTTGCTGCATGCCCCTCGTTGTTTTGCCTTGCAGAAATCCACCACAACAGCACTGCTTGCCAGGCACAAGACCTGACATTGCCTTGAGATCTGTCTACCTTTTGGGGGGGGTGTAAAAAAATCTGAAACCAAATGCAACAGAGGTGAATTCTGGGGAGAATATTGCTGATTTCTGAAAACCTTTCCAAGTAGACAGACCTCTTCCCTGTCAGTGATAACTGTTTATCACAACATTTTTTTCTTGAAGCAGTAGGAGATATCAGCTAAATGTTCAGCTGTTATAAGCCCTTGAAAGTCATCATGGCACAGTCTGTCACTGTTTCTATTCTTCCATTTTTGGGAACGGCTTTGCTCTGTATTGACAAGTACTGCTGTAAAGTAATACAGCCATCTACTTTTCCTCGACTCCTCTTAGCACTGGAAATATAAGATTGAAGAAATGTACCATGTCTTCTATTGCCTCTCCTCAGCCATGGAGGCTATCTTGTCTTGAGCATGTTTGTTGATCCATGATCAGCAGACGGTGCCAGGTACCTCATTATTTTCAGGTTGTCCATGGCCTCTAAGTCTGGCAAGGGGCTACTGCTCACCTGCCTGTCAGTCTTTGCTGGGTTCCCCTTGAACAGCTCAGATGCCGCCCCGGAATGCAGTAAAGAGCAGTTTCTGATTTCAAGGTCATTCTTGCTAGTTGATGAGCAAATAGGAAAGCACTTAAACTTCTGAGTGTGTGCCCGGAGACTGACTGAGTTCATTTTACATGTTACAAAAATAGAAAACATGAAAAAGTGCTCCCCTTCGTGTAGGTCAGTTGTAAAATGACCAGCAACATGCTACATGAATATTAAATCTGTAGAGCGGGTAAAGATTGAGAAAGCAAATGCTTACTCTACTAAAAAGGTATCGTATTTGTCATTCTTGTAGGCTATACTACCTTGGGTCTTGGCACTCCATGACAGTGCCAAGACATGTTCTGGCACTGGGCAGGACACTGGAAGATGCAGGTTCATAAAATTTCAATTTCAGCTTAACTAACAAAAAACCCCAATCAACCAACCGACCAAAAAAAACCCCAAACCCCAAATATTTAACAAGAAGAAATGCTGAACCTAGTCAGGCACTTTCCCCTAAACACATTCTCAGAATGAGAAAAATAATTCACCCTGAGATTTCATAATCATTCACCTATTTGAATAAATATACAGAGAAACCATTCCGTTTAGTGTTCACATTTGCAAAAAAGCCTAAAAAAGTAAATTAGTATTAGCCTTCTCTAGCCTTAGATTACAGCCTCCTCAGAAAAGGGATGACCTGTGTGGTTTGAGTTCTGTTAGCACTTAATGTCTCTACATCAATGATGTGCATTGTTTTGTTCATGCCACATCATGGAAATTGCATTCCCTGTTCTTTAAACTGCAGCAGGGAAGCCCACCGTGGTGATAACAGTATTCTATAGGTTATGGAAGGACTAAATATCTATAAGCCCTACTACACCTTTCTCTTTAAGGAAAGATTCACCATGAAATCTATCATTTATTTATCTGCAAGCATTAGTTCAAATACATACTTAAAGTTGAAAGGAAAGGAATTATACTAGCATTCAGCTTTGTGGCCTGAATCCAAAAGGTCTCAATAACCTTCAGTTACAGGAACAATCAGCATTTCATATCACACATTTTAATTACTCTTACTGACAACATATTTACTATATTTGTATATTTAAATTTGAAGTTTAAAATAGAGAATGCATCTTATTTGGCTTCTAAGGTACCACAATAACTTTAGGTTAGGTAAGAAATAAAAAAACCCAGCAACCCAAAACAACTGATGCTTGTGCTGGAGCACCTATTGAAATGGGGTCCTCAAATAGCAAATCATTCAGAAATGAATTACACTATCTTTTACTAGTAACTGAACTGCTTTTTGTGTGATATTCAATGAAACAAATGGAGCAAAGCCCTTCTGCAAATCATTATTACAAAAAGATACTTTACAGGTTAAGAAAAGAATGGGAGATTCAGCTTGGTTAATGCTGTTTACACAGTTGT